ACAATGGTACGTGTTCTGTCGCGAGATATGTTCCCACAAGGTAGACAACCGATCGGCAAGCACACTATTGCCAATCATACAACGATGGGTTATGCCTGGTACCATCATTTACTCAGATGAATGGGCAGCCTATCGAACGCTGTCGTCCTTGGGATATACCCACTTGACGGTGAACCATTCCCGAGGATTCATCAACCAGGCGACAGGAGTCCACACCAACAACGTGGAAGGCTACTGGAGCCGGATAAAGAGGAGACTGAAGGCAGTTTCTGGCTCCGTTGGTGACAGGAGGTGGGAAAATCTAGACGAAGTGCAGTACCGCTACTTGTTTCACTTTTTGCCCTCTAACATTGAAATGGACATTCAGACCTTTTTGCAGCACATCAGTGAGCGTTATCCCATCGATTAATGTGCTTATTGTCATTTTACTCTAATTATTTTTATTTAATACATTTTTATGCACGGTTTCTCGTCTTTTATTCATGGAAATGGAATATAAGAGCGATGATGCTACTTATGAGTAGTCAGTTTATTATTTCGACTATAGCCTGGGAGGGGTGACTGTCGATCAGGTCTACCAAAACTTCTTCCGACTCTCCACGAGGGAGTAATACCTAGAAGGTAGAATGGAAAGGGAGACGGCGCAGTATCTGTCATATGCATTCCAAGTCAGGTCAGGTCAGGTTGCACAGGACTGAATATGGCCGCGGCCAATCGAGCGTCCAGAATTCCTTCGATGGTATGCTCACTGAGTGGGCACCCAGCACTGCTAAAATGAAAATGAGAAAGAGGATCTCAGTAAACTAAAGGAACCCTGATCCCTAAGGCAGTTCTGGGAATAAGAGATACCACTCCTTGTCCAGCTCTAGTTTGAAATCCTTCATTGTGGGACATTCAACTATTCCAGCTGATAGTTTGTTCCATGTAGGGACTACTCTATTTGCAAAGAAATGATGTCGAATTGCTGGCCTGCACCTGGTTCTCTCTAGTGTGTAACACTGCCATCGGAGGATGTTGTTGGCCCGCAGGGTGAACAAGTGCCCAATGGAGGATTGCTCCATGTTCCTGGTAGCTTTGTACACTTCAATGAGGTCCCCCCTCATCCGTCGGTGTTCTAGAGAGAACATGTTCAGGGAGTTCAGTCATTCCGAGTAGCTGAGTTCTTTTACACCCCAGACTATCAGGATTGCTAGCCGCTGAACGTCTTCTAGAACTTTGATGCCGTTCCAAAGATAGGGTGCCCAGGCCTGAACACAGTACTCGAGGTGAGGCCTTACGATGGCTGTGTACAGGGGCATGAATGTACTAGGGCAAGGGTTGGCAACTGCCGTTCGGAGTCTAAAAAGAGCTCGCCTGGCTTTCAAGGCTGCTGCTACAGCGGTAGAGGACGGGGAAAAGGTGTTGGAGACTCGTATCCCGAGGTCCATTGCCTCTTATTTGTAAGCTAGGGTTGCATATACTCCGGCCGTAGTGAGGATCTGACGAGGGACGGGATGCATTATTTTGGCTAGCAGATAACTCTTCGATGCGTTGAATGGGAGGTCCCATTTTTGAGACCACTCGCATATTATTAAGATATCACTCTGAGGGGAGTATCTGTCGTCCGGGTTTCCAACTAATTTGGTGTCATCCGCGTACAAAAAGCAGGGGTTCTCCAAACCTGATGTTATGTCGTTGACATAGACGGGAAGAGAAGGGGAGCTAGGATGCATCCTTGTGGGACCCCGCTCGTGGGGGAACCCACCTCCGACAGACATCCCCGCACACCAACCCTGTAGGTCCGCCCGGACAAGAACGCTCTAACCCAGTTACAGACTTTCGGATTAAGCTCAGTTTCTTGGAGCTTGAAATCTAACAACCTGTGGTTAACTGAGTCGAATGCTTTCTGGAAGTCCAGGTAGCACACTTCGACTTCCGTTCCCTCGTCCAATTTCTGTGTTACTACGTCAAGGAAACATAACAGATTTGTTAGACAAGATCTGCCTTTGATGAATCCGTGTTGAGCGTTGCAAAAGAAACCGATTTGTAGAAGGTGCGCGCTTATGTAGTCTCGCAGAATACGCTCCAGGAGCTCGGCAACGAAGCTGGTGAGACTGATCGGACGATAGTTGGACGGGTCCGATTGGTTACCCCCATTGAAGATTGGGACAACTGTGGCATGTTTCCAGTCCTCCGGAATCCGGCCCGTGCTCAGAGGGTCGTTGAACATTGTGACTAGTTGTGGAATCATTAAGGACTCTATCGGTTTTATGACGGCTGGGTGGATATTATCTGGACCCGCGGATTTGGAGATTTTAAGAGTCTTAAAGACTCTTTCCACGTCCGGTGTATATATCACCGAATCTGGGATGTAACTCACTCGATCGAGGGTAGGGTAGTTGCTCATGCTATCTAGGCGAAAAACCTCTTGGAACGAGACGTGGAATGAGTCGGAAATATCCTTGTCGGTGGTCAAGAGTTGTCTAACAATGTGAAGGGCATTGCCGATCACTTTTCTTGATGAGGACTGAGCTTGAGCGTAGCCGAAGTATCCTTTTGGGTTTTTGAGGCCTCGTTGGCTATGGCTAGTTCATACTTGAGTCTAGCCGCCCGTGCTACTTTGATAGCTTTATTGCGGAGACGTTTAAAGCGAGCAAAGAGCAGGGGACTTCGCTTCCTTTTAAACGGCATCCATGCCTGATGTTTTCTCTTAAACGCTCGGCGGACTCTAGGTCGGAACCAAGATTTGTGTCCCCTTATCCCCGTTGTTTTCACAGGAACGTAGACTTCTGTGAGCAATACAATGTTGTCCCTCATCCGGTTCCAGGTGTCCTCTATAGAGCTCAGATTGTCCCAGAGCAGTCCCTCCACTCCGTTGATCAAGTCATCAATGTTGATGTTGTGGAATCTTCGAGTTCCAGTTTTGGGCTTCGGGGTTTCTACTCGGTGAAATTTGAAGAACACCGGTGAGTGGTCGCTTTTGCCTAAAGGAACTCTGGTCCTTATTCCCGCGACGTCATTGTTGTTCCTCGTTAGAACAAGATCGAGAGTGGAGGGTACTTGTCCAGGTCTGATNTGATGTTTTCTCTTAAACGCTCGGCGGACTCTAGGTCGGAACCAAGATTTGTGTCCCCTTATCCCCGTTGTTTTCACAGGAACGTAGACTTCCGTGAGGAGTACAATGTTGTCCCTCACTCGGTTCCAGGTGTCCTCTATGGAGCTCAGATTATCCCAGCACAGTCCCTCCGCTCCGTTGACCAAGTCATCAATGTTGATGTTGTGGAATCTTCGAGTTCCAGTTTTGGGCTTCGGGGTTTCTACTAGGTGAAATTTGAAGAACACCGGTGAGTGGTCGCTTTTGCCTCAAAGGAAATTTGGTCCTTATTCCCGCGACGTCATTGTTGTTCCTCGTTAGAACAAGATCGAGAGTGGAGGGTACTTGTCCAGGTCTGATCCTTGTAGGTACCATCATATGCTGCGTCAGGGTTAGAACGGATATGGTGTTGAGCAGAGCCATATCAAACCCAGTTCCACGACATGATTGGTGTGCCCAGTTGACAATGGGCGTGTTGAAATCACCTAGAATCAAGAACCGATATCCTGATCTAGCAGCTTCACGCAAGGCCTGAAGAAGTTCCTCATCTTCTTGGTGTGACGAGCTTGGGCTGCGATAGATCCCANTGACTGAATGTTTGTTAAGCTAGCCATGAAATGCATCGCTGACTTACGGATCACTTACCGCACTAGTAGCAAGCGACCTCCACCAAGCAAGTTAATACGGTCGGAGGGGTAATGCTGAAAATTGCTGCTCTAGTCACCGATTTCGATTTCCTCGCGCAACCACGTTTCTGTGAAGACGCACAGATCAACGGTGCCGAGAGTAACAGTTACTTCGTCTCTCTTGTTTAGGATGCTGCAAACGTTTATCAGCACACAGGAGAGGATCTGTGGGTGGTTGAGGTGTTTAGTAGTTGTTATGTCGGTGTAGTAATCCTCGTAGGAGGTTCTCCACTTTTTGGAATGTGGTCCAGGGACCGGGTTCTTTGCAGTTATTGTGAGATTTTCTTGGAGGTTTTTACCGGGGTGTCTAGTGAGGACCTGAGATGACCGCTTTACGGGTGCGGTTGTCTGCCCCGATTTTGATGTTGGTCACTGTGCTAGGATGTAGAAGCCACAGATTGAAGAAAATCCCTCTTCTCGGTCCGAGGCGTGACCACTGTTGTTCCCCCTCCCAATTACCCCTTTTTCGATCCTGTGTGAACACGTTCTCTTTAGTCACTCCCGATTTGACCTTGACCACCACGTGATCCCTCGTGTTAGTCATTGTCTATGGTTGTTTGATGTCGGATTCTCATGTCCAATGACCTTGTGTGTCTATCTATCGATCCCAACCGTGTCATTATCCTGTGCACTAACGTGGCTTTGGTGTGTCATTACCCCGTGCCATAACCGCCCCAGCCCTTATATGCCCCGTCACTGGCCCTATGGCCTCATTCGTTGTCTTGCTTTGGCGAGTGCATACCTGACCTCGCGCACTGGCTGTTCACGTTTGGTGAACAGAATTTCACCCCGTGGCAAACAGATCATTTCGATCTGTTTAAATTTATCTTGACTGTTCACGTTAACTGAACAGAACCCCTTGCTTGACCTAACAGGTATTTATGTTCCCTCTTTGTATATTTATTTTCTTGTCTCTACCCATTTGTTTGAACTCACCTTTTTGGATACATAGCGACTGAGTCGCATTGTTGAGGTACGTTGTTCTTTGATTTGACTAATGAACTAAACAATACCGTACGCATTGCGGATCAATATCGTTCTGACTTCGGGGTTCGCATTTCGCTACGCGTCGCTCAACGGTCTAATAGACGCTATACAGAACGATCGTAGAATAGTCGTTTTGAAATTTATAGGACTCAAAAGGACTCCAGGTTCCTGAGGAGTGTTTAACTGGAAATCCACTTACGATCGCAGTCACACGAAGGGGAAAATCGGAAACTGATGCTGCCAGGAAAATCCTCGCCACTGATCATCCCCGGGAAGTCCCTCATTTTGGTTTTTCTGTTCATGGCTCTCGTGTTAGTGGGGTTAGTCGGCACAGTAGTCGTCTAAGTGATAAACCTCAATTGGTAGAGTTGAAACAGAGGCATCTGAAATGGCGACAAGAAATGGAGCCAGGACACTAGCAAGAAAAGCAACGGAAAGAACTCTTAGATCTGCAGCAAAGCTTGAGCTCATCTCGAATAACCGTTCGCGCGGACTCTGCGAACTCCCTGCATTCGTCTGTCGATTCTTTACACCAGCTTAGGACACTTCGGTTCGAGCACGATGATCTGCTGAAAGGAGACCCGTTAGATGACCGTGAGGCCACCCACAGGCTTGCACCTGCGAAGAAGGCCATCCGGATAGTGAAAGACGGAACGCGGTCCACCGAGGGTCATTTCGTAGTGTCTCTTCCGTGGAAGAAAGGCGCCAATA